AGAGCGTGCGGGATGTGCAGTTCAGTATCCGTGACTACTTTACCTTCGCTTCCACCTTTGAGAATGGCAATGTACAGCTCTGGGACATCCGCCGACCTGACCGGTGTGAAAGGATGTTCACAGCCCACAATGGGCCTGTCTTCTGCTGTGACTGGCACCCAGAGGACAGGTGTGGTATGGGGACAAGGCGGGCATTAAGGCTGGAGGCTAAAAGACACCTTTGGGTGTGGCGGGGTCTCCTTTCCCATGGGAGAGGTCACTGACAGCTTGAGTGGGACCTTCTCCACAGGGGCTGGCTGGCCACAGGAGGACGTGACAAGATGGTAAAGGTCTGGGACATGACCACACATCGTGCCAAGGAGATACACTGTGTCCAGACGATTGCTTCAGTGGCCCGAGTCAAATGGCGGCCTGAGTGCCGCCACCACCTGGCCACGTGCTCCATGATGGTGGACCATAACATCTATGTATGGGATGTACGCCGGCCCTTCGTGCCGGCTGCTATGTTCGAAGAGCATCGTGATGTCACAACAGGCATTGCCTGGCGCCATCCGCATGACCCCTCTTTCCTGCTCTCTGGCTCCAAGGACAGCACGTTATGCCAGCACCTGTTTCGCGATGCCAGTCAGCCGGTTGAGCGTGCCAACCCTGAGGGTCTCTGTTATGGCCTCTTTGGGGACCTGGCGTTTGCCGTTAAGGAAAGCCTGGTGGCTTCTGAATCTGGACGTAAACCCTATGCTGGTGACCGGCGCCACCCCATCTTCTTCAAGCGGAAGCTGGACCCTGCAGAACCTTTTTCTGGCCTCGCTTCCAGTGCACTGAGTGTCTTTGAGACAGAGTCTGGTGGTGGCAGCATGAGCTGGTTCGTGGATACAGCTGAACGGTACGCTCTGGCTGGCCGGCCACTAGCTGAGCTCTGTGATCACAATGCCAAAGTGGCTCGGGAGCTTGGCCGCAACCAGGTATGTGAAATGGGGGCCCAGGGATCATGATTTGGTCAGAGACTGCTGCTGTAGTTGGGGCACCATACCCACAACCTGAAGCTCAGTCACAGTGTCAGCCTTTGCCACAGTATTTGACAGTGTAAAGATCATGTGGCCCAGAATAGCCCAAACCATGGGGTCATACTCAGGGTGGAGGCTGAGGGAGTCGAGTGCCTACAGCTCCCTCTTCTGCCTCATTCTTGGTGTTGGAGCTGCCTTCTGTATGCTGTCTCTCTTCCCCATATTCGTTCCCTTGCTAATCCTAGAACCAGGCACCTCACAGATGGACCACTATAGGGTGGACACTACTCTCTCCATGAGCCAGTTTCCTGGGTGGTAGTGGATCAGGCCATGGATTAGTATATGATTCTGCTCAGGAGATGGAGGCCAGCCTGGGATGCTAGTACCCAGGACCCATGAGCGGTTGGTGCCTCCCCCTAGGTGGCACAGACATGGACCATGTTACGGATTATCTACTGTAGCCCTGGCTTGGTGTCCTCTGCCAATCTCAACCACAGCATCGGCAAAGGCAGCTCCTGTGGCCTACCGCTCATGAACAGGTAGATCCTTGGCTTCTTCCTGCCCCCTCCCCAGGGTGGACTGCTGGCGCCTGGCCACCCACAAGCCTTCCCTCCCTGTAGCTTCAATCTGAAGGATATGGGTCCAGGGCTGGGCAGTGAGACGCGGCTGGATCGCAGCAAAGGGGATACGCGGAGTGACACGGCTCTGCTTGACTCCTCAGCCACACTCATCACCAATGAGGGTAGGCAGGGGTCCCGATGGCCAGAGGGCTGGGGAGCCATTCCCCTGAATGACTTCCCTTCCCTGCTGGGCAGATAATGAGGAAACTGAGGGGAGTGATGTGCCTGCCGACTACCTGCTGGGTGATGTTGAAGGCGAGGAGGATGAGTTGTACCCACTGGACACAGAACATGTGCACCGTGAGTGGGGGCTGGGTGAGCTAGGGAGGGCTCCCACCCAGAACATGGCTCTGGGAGCAGCAGCTGAGTGCAGTGGGAAGCCTAGACCCAGGTCCATCTTTCTTCACCCTGCCTCCCAGCCGAGGAGCCTGAATATGTGCTGCCACAGGAGGCCTTCCCACTGCGCCATGAGATTGTGGACACACCATCCGGGCCTGAACATCTGCAGGACAAGGCCGACTCTCCGCACGTGAGCGGCAATGAGGCAGACACAGCTTCATTAGCCCCGGTGGACTCCTCCTCCTCCCTCCTCTCTGTCTCACATGCGCTGTATGACAGCCGCCTGCCGCCTGACTTCTTCAGTGTACTGGTACGGGACATGTTGCGCTTCTACGCTGAGCAGGGCGACGTGCAGATGGCTGTGTCTGTTCTCATCGTGCTGGGTGAGAGAGTGCGAAAGGACATCGATGAGCAGACCCAGGTGTGTGATGGGCCAAGGAGGGTCTCCCTGGACTGGCTGCTGGGTCCCTCATCTGAGCCTGTTCCTTTTCCTTTGTAATCTCCACCCCAGTTTACCTGGAATCACTAACCTGAGCCTGTCCCCTCCTGACCAGGAGCACTGGTACACATCCTACATCGATCTGCTGCAGCGATTCTGTCTCTGGAATGTGTCCAATGAGGTGGTGAAGCTTAGCACCAGCAGGGCAGTTAGCTGCCTCAACCAAGCCTCCACCACTCTGCATGTCAATTGTAGCCACTGCAAGCGGCCTATGAGCAGCCGAGGCTGGGTCTGCGACAGGTGCAGTGGCAGGATTGGGGGGTGGGGGGGGAGGGTTGAGAGGGAGGCAGCCCAGAGCCCCCTAGCTGAACAGCTCTCCCATTCCCAGGTGCCACCGTTGTGCCAGCATGTGTGCCGTCTGCCATCATGTAGTTAAAGGTCTGTTCGTTTGGTGTCAGGGTTGCAGTCATGGTGGCCATCTTCAGCACATCATGAAATGGCTGGAAGGCAGCTCCCACTGCCCTGCAGGCTGCGGCCATCTCTGTGAATACTCCTGACCTGGCCTTCTCTAAAGCTGATGCAGTGTCCTCAGCTCAATCCCGATGTCCACCGGACTAGGCTCACAGCCTCTTACCGGTCCCGTGTACCAGGATGGAAAGTGGCTGCAACTTGTTAACCCAATAAAAATCAAGGGCTGCTGTTTGGCTATTTGTCACTTTCATTTGCGCCTTGGGTGGGAACTTCCTAGGTGGGAACTTCCTAGCAGGAGGGAACTTCCGGTAGGGGCGCTGTAGCCATGGTAACCCGCAGTAGTCAATGGCTGCTCAAAACAGTTTTTACTCCGCCTTGAGGAAATGATTAAATAGGGATGTTGTGTGGATATGTGTGTGTACCCTCGCATTTATGAAGGAAGAGACTCCCAGGGCCGGCTGGCTACTGCTTGCAGGTAGCCACAACAGTCCGGACAGTAAGCCAATGGCTTGTGGTTACGCAAGTGTCGACGGAGTTCCCAGCGTGCTGCGCGCCTGCACCCGTATGTTCATGGCGGCGGCTGGACGGCTCGGTCTGCTTTTACTCTTTGTACTATGGATGATGGTGACTGTGGTTCTGTCTGGCTCTGGCGAAGGGGGATGGTGAGCCACAGGAAATGGGCGGCGGGAGGGAGCCTGAGCTCAAAGCTTTGGCTGGCCTGACCTGTTGTCCCTGCAGGAAGCAGAGTGGGCTGGGAACTGCAGCAGCAGTAAAGGAGGAGGAGCGTTGCACAGTGGAGCGTCGAGCACACCTCACATACTCCGAATTCATGCAACAGTATGTGTGCCTGCCCCAAGTCTCAGCGTAATTCTAGGCATACTCCCAAGCGTGGTCTTTAGCTGCGGAGATCATACCCTCACTACCTGGTGTGCAGGAGAGGTGCCTGCAGGGTCCAACCTCCATGCAACATTTTCCCTTTTTCCCCCAGCTATGCCTTCCTCAAGCCCGTCATCTTGCAAGGACTCACGGACAACTCGGTGAGTATTCGTACCTTTGTGGGCAACTGGTCCCGTTTGGCCAGGTGCTCAGTTACCTCATCCTCCATCCCCAGAGGTTCCGGGCCCTGTGTTCCCGGGAAAACCTGCTAGCCTCGTTTGGAGACAACATTGTTCGCTTGAGTACAGCCAACACCTACTCCTACCAGAAAGGTGAGCTACACACCCCTCAAGGTCTGCCTTCGAATCTCAAAGGCAGGACTGTCCAGTCCCGACTGGCTCCCCCTTCTTGTAGTGGACCTGCCCTTCCAGGAATATGTGGAGCAGCTGCTGCACCCCCAGGACCCCGCATCCCTAGGCAATGGTGAGCCAGACCCAGGCAGCAGTGGGGGTGGGACACTTAGGAGGCCCTGTTGCCAGGACTCCTGCCTGTCACCCTCTCTGCTGGCAGACACGCTGTACTTTTTTGGAGACAACAACTTCACGGAATGGGCACCACTCTTCAGACATTACTCTCCACCTCCATTCCGTCCCCTGGGAGCCACCCCTGCTTATAGCTTTGGAATTGCAGGTGAGTGCTCCTTCAAAACAAACTTGGGGGAGCCCATATTAAATATTTTGTTTATCACCTATTCACAACTGACCCCACAGGAGCTGGATCTGGGGTACCCTTCCACTGGCATGGGCCTGGTTTCTCAGAGGTTATCTTTGGTCGGAAGGTCAGTCCAAGGGTTGGGGATGAATTTGGCGTCTGTAGTTTACAGCACACAAGAGTGACCTTATACTCCTGCCTCCAGCGCTGGTTCCTCTACCCTCCTGAGAAGACACCAGAGTTCCACCCTAACAAGACCACGTTGGCCTGGCTTCTGGAAACATACCCATCCCTAGCACCATCAGCTCGGCCTCTAGAATGTACCATCCAGGCTGGTGAAGTCAGTAGCTGGTAGGTTGGGGTTGGGCTAACCCAAAAAGCTCAGAATCAAACATTTTTGTGCCCTCTTCTTCCAGGTGCTGTATTTTCCTGACCGGTGGTGGCATGCCACACTCAATCTGGACACCAGTGTCTTCATCTCTACCTTCCTTGGCTAGCCAAACAGGCAACTGGCAAGCCCACTGCACCAGCACATGCCAATATAGTGCTCACAGACTTTATTACAGGACAGTGGCAGCAGCAGCAACCTCAGCCCACCCTCACCCGCTCTCCAGCCCAGAAAGGGGACAAGGGAGGCTCATGGCCCAGCAAGGGGTATGCTGAGAAGGGGAGCAGTTCAGAACCCATCAGCAGGACCGATGGGGACAGGCCCAGGACACAAACTATATACAGAGGCTGGAGCTTCCGTCTCCAGATCCTTCTGGGCCAGGGCGCCAGGCAGGGCACGGGGCCTCAGTAGTCCTCTACCCAGCCGTTCTCAGAGATGAAAGCATCAATGACTTCCTTCATGGCCAAGTTGGGGATGAGCTGTTCCTGGGTCAGAGGGCTCCGGGTCACGGGGTCAAAGTGGCCCACACGCTACAACAACAGAGTCAAGAGTGTTCAATGGCCTGGTATACCCTGGTCCCAGTCCCGAGGCCCATGGGCCCTCTTTACCTGCAGGTGCTCCTCAATGTCCTTGCGGTCATAGGTGATACCACTGGGTGTAATGCAGGGTTCCCGCATCAGCTCAAAGCTGATCTTGCCACACAAGTAGTCAGGGATATCTCGCTTCTACAGCACAAGGGGGAAAGTGTCTGGAACTGGAAAGGCAGTCACCACACCAGCGCCTGCCCATGAGCTTCAAGGGAGCCTCACCTTTCTTTTCTCGTCCACCTGCGAGAAGAGCTCATCCATGTCTGCCATGTATTTATCCTGCAGAGTTGAGTGCCATGTGTGGGCAACTCGTGTCTCCTCCACACAGACACACACACTGTCCACCAGGGCACTCATGTCATGCATGGGCCAACTGATCCACCATAGGCTGGGGCACTTCTCATGCCACACACAAAAACACACACACAATGACCCACATGTGGACTAGGGGCACCCTCACGTGCTTGGCCTCAATGCAGGCCTGCTGGGCCCGGATGTGGCCATCATCCTCATCGCCCTCGTGGTTCCGCTGACACTCTTCCAGTTCCCTGATGGTTAACCAGAAGCTAGTTGGTGATGGCCCCGACCAAGAAATGACAGAGCCCTCCCCATCTCAGGCCTCTTTCCTCCTGGGCTTCCCATGTATTGGTGGATGCTGTCTTTCAATAAACATTTGTGCTGGTGACTCAGTGTCAACCCGAGAAAGTAGCCTGTTGGGGGAGGGACCCACCTCTCTCGCTCAGCAGCAATGAGCCTGGTGAGATACGAATGCAGCTCACTCTCCTGGTGGATGCGCCGTTCCTCAATACTGTTCCAGCGCTTCTTCTTAGCAATGCGAAGGGCACTAGGAATATCATCCCCAAAGTTGAGTCGCTGCTCCTTGGCCAAACTATAGGCTGGGGGAGTGGACACTTTTGGTTACAGTTGTCAACAATCCTGGCCCCAAGGTGCCCACAACCTGGCATCTTGTCAGCCCACCTCGCTGCAGATTGGCAATAGCCTCGTCATAACTCTCCATCTCCAGCTGGCATTGCCCCAGGAAGAAGTGCGCCTTCACGGACTGCCCATCCAGCTCCAGGGCTCGCCGGCAGTCAGCAAGTGCCTGTTCAGGCTGCTGCATCTTCAGATAGCACAGGGCCCGGTTGGTGTAGTACACTGCCACAAGTGGGTTCCGGGTCTGGGGACCAAGACCAGGTGACAAAGAGTGTGGGCTCATCCCTCTCTTCTAGCAAGCTGAAAGCCAATTATTGGGACAATGCTCCAGCTTTGGGGGCCCATGGCTAGAATAGAGAACTGGAGATTTCCGAGTTATCAAAGCTCTAGATTCTGGCTATGCTCTCTTGCCTCCAACTGCTTTTGAGAAAAATCCCAGACCTCTCTACCAGCTTTGGGCTTGGGAGCCTCAAGGGGCAAAGGTTCCTGGTGTCATCCTTAGCGCCTGCCTCAATCAAGCATCCCGCCCTCCAGTCCCCAGTCAATCAGCCCTGGACTCGGGAACGAGCTGGCCATCGAGTCCTGGCTGCCAGAAATCGTCCGAGAACCACAGAACTGGGAGGCACATCGGGCCCCGCCCCCGCCCCCGCCCCCCGCACTCACGATGGCGCGGCCGTAGCAGGCCGCCGCCTCCGGGTATTTGCGGCCCACGAAGAGCCGGTTCCCCTGCTCCTTGAGCTCCTGCGCACTCGGGCTCTTATCAGGGCTGCCGCCGCCACCAGTGCCCAGCCGCGCGCCGCCCTCCTTTTCCTCCTTGCCCTTCATGGCGCCGCGCGGCACGGCTTGGGCTCCGCGCCCGGCCACCTAGATCTCGCAGCCCGCGCAGCGATCAGCTCCGCCCGGTCGGCGATCCGCCACCGGAACTTCCGGTGTGGGGCGGAGCTGGCATGGGGACACGTGAGCAAAGGCGGAGCCTCACGGTTGGAGCCTGTTCTCTTAGCTCAGAAAAGCTACCGCTGCGCTCTCTACCGGCCCCGCCCTGCAGTAACCAGGACCTACCCTCACTGTTCAGACCAAGGCTCCGCCCACCGGTGTTCAAGCCCCGCCCTCCGGCCCACGCCACGCGAACGTGGCAGCGGTCCTTGAGAAGTGGCCCTCGGAGGCTGGTCACTAGGCCCGGGTCCTAGCGCACTACGGAGGCGCACGCGGCCTCAAGCGGCTGCCTGGGAACGTCTGGACCGCTGGTAGGACGGCGGAATTGAGGGAAGGAGAGAGGCCCGCAGGTCAGATCGCCCTGGAGGGGCTAACTCGGGAATCGGGAGGGGCTGCCTGCGGCCATTAATGGCTGAGAAACAAGCACGTGACATATTGACACGAAAGGACCTGCTGCGGTTGCTATAGAGGTAGCTGCGGATGCAAGGCTGGTCTCTCCCCTTCTTGCGGTAATGGGGGAGGAGCTTCTTCAAGGGCGGAGCAGGCAGGTTTCCTTGGAGAGCGCCTGCATCAAGACCCTTTGACCCCATGGTCTGTAGATGAAGCATTTCTAGCCGATGAGGCATTTGAGGCCGCTGCTGCATCAGCTGTTGGCCGCTAACAGCCCCCACCCCGGACTTGGAGAAGCAGAACTCGGCTTTCTGCCTATCTGCGCCGCAGTCAAACTTCGCTGCGTAGTTTCTGCCACTGCCTCGAGTGAGTAGGGACCATCTTTGCCCAAGTTGGGTGGGGGCTCTAGGAGCTCAAAAAAAGCTATCCCCAGAACCTCCTTGTCACTTTTTGCAGTGGTCCTGGCGGCAGGGGTTTCTGGGGTTGCAGAGGCGGTGGCTATAGTTCCTAGCTTGCTAACCTGCAGTACACACTCAAGCACTACTTGCTGTTTTTGGCCTGGGTGCAAGAGCGCACTGCATTTCTGAGCGGGGCCTGAGAGGTCATCCAGGACCCCATAATGATTCCGGTGGTTAGTAACTCGACCCCATAACCCTTGTGGACCTCACTAGTGAGTGCCTTAGAGCTGTAGACTCTTCATCTTGTGAAGATAGCACTGCAGGCTTGGGCTATGGACAGATGTATGCCCAGATCTGCTGCCTGAACTTCACCCCAACTGGGCCTCCCACAAGGACTGTAGACCTGCCAAGAATTACAGGACCCAGGCCAAGTGAACCTGGCTTTGTCATGGGCTTGCCTTTGGGAGAGAGGCTGAAAGAACAGGAGATTGAAAGCTCTTGGAGCACAATAAACGATTGCTGAACTTGGACTGACCTGGAAGTCCACAGTCTCTTCCCTGGGGCCCCACCTCCTGTGGATCCCAGCCCTGGCCAGGAGTAAAGAAAGCCACTACCTGATCAGGTGCATAGACCATCCTGGATGGAAGGTGTCTCACACAGCCTGGGTGAGGGGGCAGACAAGCCTGCAGAGCCCCAGGACAGCTACCTGGTGCTGTGTAAAATATTTATTCATTCTCCAAAAAGGCTCAGACTGCAAGTCCTGGGGGAGGCAGGGGGGTCAGTGGGCAGGGAAGGGATCTTCTCTAGGGCCACATTCAAGGTCCTCCACCCAGCCCTGGCCTAGTAGCACCCCTCCCGCTGGAAAGGCCTGGGAGGAGCAGCAAGGGCTGCAGTAAGACTTGGCTTCAGCTGGGGTACCACAGGGCCCCCCTGCCCCTGTGGGGAAAAGCAGCCAAGAGGTCCATTCATAGAGGGCAGACATGCAGGCCCACCTGGTGGCTGACCCACTGAAGGCCTGGCTCTAGCCATATGGCCCTAGGGAGCAGGTCAAGGTGGAGGGGGGATATCGGCACCCAGCAGATCATAGGCAAAGACGTTCCAGAAGATGGCGAAAAGCAGGAAGGTGCCATAGGCAAGTAGCACCACCCACCAGCCGCACTGGTCCCTCAGGCGCTCCTCATAGCTTCGAAGGATGGTAAGGCCCATGCTTACACCTACCACTGCACCAGCCAGGTGTGCCATGAAGCTGGGCTGTGGGCCTGAGGCAGGCAGTGGTGGGGAGAAGCGTAGCCACACAGCCCGGCCCACCTCGGAACTCACTGCAGAGGGAGCAACAGGTGGGAGGGGCCCTGTCTGCAGGTAGAGGGCCTCCCAGCGCCCCACCTGCCCCGCTACTCACTGCACACCAGAGCCAGCACCATCCTCAGCAGCTTGTATGGACACCGCATGCCAGCCCAGTTCTGATGGGGGCAGGCAGACGGGCTGTGAAGCATGTCCAGTGGGCCCCTTCCCACCTCCCCAGAAAGGCAGTCCCATTACCATGACAACATTGGCCAGGTGTGCTGAGCACAGGGCATAGACCCCTCCAGAGCCCCCTACCACGGGGGCACGCATATCTGTGATAGAGACAGTCAGGGAGCCTGTGGGCAAAGGGAGAGGTGAGGGCCAGCTGTGCCCTCACCTCAACAGGTGAGGTCAGCAGGGGACCCACCCAGCTGTGTGCTAGTCTCACCTGCCAGCACACCTGCCAGGTAGAGCAGGCTGATGCGAAGCACACCGTGTACCATCTCCAGGGGCACGCCGATCATCAGCTGCAAGAGGGCATTGAACCCTAGCTGCTCCAGCCTGGCCACAGAGGAGCAGAGGGGATCAGATGTGGAGCCTGGCTCCTCCCAGACCACCTCAGGCAGTGCAATCCCTCTGGGAGTTAAGCCTTCAGAGTCAGTGGGCAGGTGCTGGAGATAGGAGCGGAGAAGGGACTCTAGAACCTGAGGCTCACTTACCCGACATGCATGAACATGTAGGTAAGGAAGCGCCAGGCCCGAGCACGGTGTCCTGGGTGATACACCAGAGGGCTCTTCATATATTCAGGGTGGTAGGTCTGGAGCACCCACTTGTTGAGACGTGCCCCGTAGCACAGGAACACGATAATCTGGGGACACTAGTGTTAGGGCTGGTCAAGACTAGGGACTCAGGAGGCCCCGGGGCAGCGTGTAGGCAGGCCCACCTGGGCAAGGGTGACCGAGGCCATGAACACAGGGGGTGGGCAGGTGCGGTGCCTGTAGAAGTACCAGCGGCGGTCCACCTCACAGGGCAGGATCTCGTAGGCCACATAGCGCACAAACCGCTTGTAGACACCCAGGCCTGGCTCATCTAGCAGTCCGTCCCGGGGCAGTGCCCGTTGCCCGTTAGCAATGGCTCTCTTGAAGCTGCTGGAGCGTTTGCTGCTGATCTGAAGGGCAGGAGTCTTAGTGTGGGTGACAGTATTGTTCCTGTGGAACCCTACCCTACTTGGCTGTGTGGCTGCTAATGGTCTGAGGCTCTTCCACACTGCCCAGATCTGTAAGCCCTACCCAGTAAAAAGCTGTGTGCCCACCCAGCTTTGGTCAGGTCGCTGTGCTTGACCAGGTCTGGGCCCTCCCCTGCTGCCCGCACACCATGGCACTGACCAGGTCCACCAGCTCCTGGTAGCAGACCTGGCCCCGCTCGTTGCTCTGAGCCAGAGCCACCAACATGTCCAACTTGGTGGGGTCCAGGGGCAGCTCATGGCTGTGTACCAGACCAGCGAAGGTGTCCGCACCGATGAAGCCTGTGTTCTCAGGATCCAGCTGCTGTGGTGGGGGAGTAGAGGGTGGGCCAACCCCCAGCCACAGGGCTGAGCTAGGCTGGCTAGAAAGGCTGGACCTTTGTGCCAGTCAGTGCCTGTTTCCTAGAACCAGCTTGTTCCCGGGCCCTGGTAGGGCAAGGTGCCTAGTTTGGCTGTTCTACCACCTCGTATTCGCCCTATCAGTCCTAGAAAGGGGAAGGACCTAGGTCCAAGGACCACCACCCTCCAACCCCAGCTTTCCGTGGAAACCCCGATGAAGCCAGACCTTTCTTGGAATCGAGAGTCTCAGAGACCAAGGTCGTGCAGGGAGGGGGATTTGGGAGGCGGCTGCCTGGGCCTTCTGCAAGCATGGTCCCTCCCCCGAGCCCCTCACCGGCTGGAAGGGTGCCAAGGCAGTGCCAGCTCCCACCCACCACGCACCTGCTCCTGAATGAGCTGCAGCAGCGAGCTCCTGTCCATAGAGCCGGGCCCAGGGCCGGGGTCGGCCGAGGCCGGGAGGGGCTGCTCTGCGGACCGCTCCGCTCCGCCCCGGCCGGCCCGCTCCGCCTGCTCTGCTCTGCGCTCCCCGAGCTCAGACAGCGTCACCGAGATGCCAGCCCAGCGCGCACACAGCCAGAGCACGCGCACACCCTGCACGCGCACGCGCGGCCCCAACTCGACGCACTGCCTGGGTAGAACCGTCCCCCACCGAATAGCTCGACCCAGAACCACCGCAAGCGTACAGCCCTTGCACTACGTGCTGCAGAAGCTTCTCCCAGTAGCCCATAGCTGGGAACCTGAAGCACCCAGTATCTCTTTTAGGCAGCCTTTGTTTTATTTCGTTCTTTAGGAAGCTTTCTCTAAAAATATGTGTGTGACCCATCCCAGGATGTCAAGGTCCATTTGCTCCCCATCACACCGACTTTCTCCTGAGCTGGAGCTGCTTTCAGTAGACACACTTGTCCTTATTTGCACCGTTCCAGCAAGGAAGCCCTAGGTCCTACAAATCAAGCCCATACTTAGGGCACTACCACTGCTCAGACCATGCAAGACTGTAACACTTGCCCCTACATGTGGCCAAGGCTGGGGGCTCTAACCAAAGACCCCTGGATTGGATTTGAGACAGCAGGGCCTCTGGTGCAGAAACACCAGTCAAGGTACAGGGGATAGCCAGGAAGAGCCACAGATAGCCACCTGAAGGTAGGACTGACTGCAGCTTAGATTGGGGGGTAGGGGGATGTGCTCCCGAGGACAGTGAAGGTGACAGACCAATGGGATGTGTAACCATGGCAACCCCTTCAAGTATCATTCAAAAGAGACTCTGCTTCTGCAAAGATGTGATGGCAGTTATTCCTGCCTGATGGGCCTCTTCGGAATGCAGCTACCTACAATAAGCAGCCC